GAAGAGAACAGGGTGATTTTTCTATGTTTCTCTGAAGCCCAGTATGCCAATGGGAATGACCGTTAATATCTGAATATTCTGCTTAACTATCTTTCATAAAAAGCGTATACACTAGAAAAGAACTGAATGCTATTACCATTTAAAATTCTAGTATAGGAGTTTCGGCTGTCTACAAAAATGTCAAAGAAAGTCGATTATAGGAAATGGAATGAAAGCTGGTAATTTATTATCTTAAAAAGGTAGAGTTTGGGTGACAAAAACAATAGTGGGTTTCCGATTTAACAATAGGAATGGTAACATGCTCATGTTGGACTTTGACACTTCAGACATCAGTCATTAGGTAAGTTAAACACAAGGCATGACATCCAGTGTAGTAGTTTTATGTAAAGAAATGTTATGATATGACCGATAATACTGTCTAGTAGACAAAGAGCTAATATACCAACAATAACGATTTTAATGGCTAGTCACCATGTCATATTTGATAAGCAACTATACTACTACCACAGGAAAGTAATAGAGAAGACAGACGGTTGACAAGAGAGCTTTTACTGCCTCAAAAAAAACAAGCAGCCAAAGCACTTTACAGTCAAGTTAAATATGCAGGTTTCAAATGACACTGACAAATGCTAATTTCAACAGTACCTTAAAAGAGTTAACACCCAGTGAGAGTTCAGCCCTCACAAATAGTAGAAAATATAAAAGATGGCAGTGTTACACTTGTGAAACTGTTCCTTACATCTTGTAACTGTCTTTTTTCTCTTACAGTGTAGAGATGGGCCACCCAAATGTAGTGGTCCATTTATCGAGTGACGTAAATAAATACAGCATAAATGAATAAGCAATAAATCTGTACTTCTTATCTCCCTTCCTAAAAATCTCTGCCTACCGTTGTCATAATCATACATTATGTTTCATTATAGAACTTCATGTTCTGTCTTCTGTATTCATCCCTACAACAGGGGTGAACAATAAACACCAGAATATTGTTATGTAAATGCGCTAGGCTAATGCGAGCCGGAAGCTGGGGGTACACAAGGTGTTTAGAGGACAATTTCTAATAAATGTAACAATCATTTCACAAGTTAAGCATTTTTAAAACTAAACACCACTAGGTGTATGACCATCCCAAAAAGGTGAATATAACTGAAGAGGCTTGAAAGACTAAGGTCAAAGCTACCAAATAGGTTGATTGGTTTCAGGACCTCATCCTGAACTGACATCGGTTAGAGGACCATTGGAAAGCCTAGAGAATGAGTACTGGACAGCTGTTTGGTACCAGTTTGAGACTCTTCAGTAGTACGCACCCACTAATGTTCGAACCGAGGACCTTCTGGTTAGTGGGAATTCATAACCAGTGGGGTACATCAGGTTGGGCATGAGGACAAATACACGCCACCGATGACATTGGCTAGTGGTCGCTGCATATCGTAAATTCGCTCAAGTTAGAATTCATGAACTGGCCATTGAATCGAGTCCCAGTGGCTTAATGGTCTACAAGCTCGCCTTGTAACCAGAAGGTTCTGGTTTCGAACGGCAGGGCTTGTGCACTGATGAAGAGTGCTAAACTATGTCCACGAAACAGATGTCCAGTACTCCCTGAAGGTTTTCCAATAGTCCTCCAATCGATTTCAATTCCTAATGCAATATAGAAAAATATTAGTTTATGGGGGTTCGGTCATTGGCACGTTATTTATTGTTACTATTATTCTATTGAGTTCCTAGTGGAATATAGTGTGATTCAACAGCACCTCTATGTTTCAGTTTGTTCTCTGAAGTCTTTTGTCACTGGCTTCACGACTGCCCATAAGCCTACATTACCTTGTCATCTTGATTATTATTCTTTTTTAGGCTTAAAAAGTGGAGCTAGTGTCCCTAGTCTGAAAAATGAATCCAGTCACCAGAGAAACCTGAAGGCATACTATTTAAGTAACCGAAACTAACACAAAACAGTTGGTCATTACATCCAGGCTTTCAGTGATTCCGTACATAATTCCAGTATGCGAATACGATTTAATCTACATGACCTCAATGTTCACAAACACACACCAAACACACTAAAGCCACTCCAAAGTCATATTATTAATATTGTTTCCTTTAATTCCTAGAGGAATATAGGGCTTCAACCACACGTCTCCGTTGCGTTTGGTCCTCTGCTAACGTTTTCACCTGGCTCCAAGTCTGCCCACACGTTTTCATCTCCTCTTCACATGACCTCCTCCAAGTCACCCTTGCTATGACGACCAACTCCCATTCGGGTTCCACTCAAGGGCATGTCTAGTGATGTCACTTGATGGTTTCCTCAGAGTATGGCCAATCCATCTCCATTTCTTCCTGCTTATTTGTTTCACAATCGGTTCCTGGTTGGTTCGCTCATTGCCAGAGATCTCTGTTGCTGATCTTTTCTGGCCAGCCATCTGATTTTGAGTATTGAGCGAAGACAACTGTTGATGAAGGTCTGTAGTTTGTCTGAGATGCTCTTTATGACGCGCAGTGCAAGTCTCTGATCCGTATAGTAGCACTGACTTCCCATTGGAGTTGAAAATCCGGATCTTATTTTTGATACTGAGTGCTGTTGACCTCCACACAGACTTGAGAGTAGAGAAAGCTTGTCTTGCTTTTCCGATTCTTGCTTTGATATCCTCGTCAGTTCCGTTCTCCTGTAGTTGAAACGATGCTTCCCAGGTAGGTGGAGGAGGTTGTTTCTTTCAGGTTCCTTCCATTTATGCTGATTGTTGTCTGTTGTTGGTGTTGGCCAGGAATCTTCATTACATCTGTTTTCTCTATGTTCACCTGAAGTCCTATCTTTGATGCTTCTTCTGCTAGCTTGTTGCTTTTCACTTGCATATCTTCCAGTTTGTGGGAATATATATATAAATATATATATATTACCTTGCAGCAACAGAACCTCTTTAGATAAATTTCCACCAAAAATTAGTTTAATAGGAATGATAGAATAAAATCTTTAGGAAACAGGTGACCTTATTTCAGAATTCATTTCCTAACCTCTTAATCTGACATTATCCAAAATTCATCAGGTATGCATCTCACACATTATATTACTATTATTATTATTTCAAAGTGCATTTTCTTCGGTGAAAAAGATGAATTTACTTGTTCACACACACATACATACACACATAGGCAGAAACTGAAATTCATCAATCTTTGTCTAACACACATGAAATTTATCATGCATAAGATACTTTGATTTGACCTTTATCTCATGGGTAAATTATAGTTTAGCAATTACAGACCTCATTTTTTGTGAATTCATTAGAAGTTAAATAGAGAAAGAGGAATAGAAACAATCTTGTTATGTATTTCTTATGTTGTTGTAGTGAGATTTACAAATTGCCCGTTAATGTTTGATTTTGTAGATGAACTTAGTGTATAAATTAGGAAACATAAATATTGGGCTGTTTGTGCTGAGTTAAACTAGTTATATATTTAATTTTGATTTCGATTGATTATTCGGTAGTAATCAGTGTCATTGTGCGTCGATGGCACAGCGGTTAGGACGCTCGCCGACCATACATATGGTCCGGGGTTCGATCCCCGGCCACTGACGCACTCCTTTACCTCGCTAAGCCAGTAGTAAAGGAGGTTGGGTATGAGGCTAGAAGCCCCATCCTGTAAAAATAATCACCACTGCTACAGAAACTTCAAGCCTCTAGCTTGAAGCTCTATGTTCCACTGGGAAAGTGAAGGAATGAAAATAAAAATTAAATAAAAAAATCAGTGTCATACGTCTAGTCTTTGGGTTGGTGCAGACTGAACGCTATCAATCAACGCTACAATCGCCACTAATCATCTAACATACATAATTTCCAATGTTTGACTGAAGGGATTTGATTGCTTACAGGATTTCATCTTGAACTGGTAGCGGTTAGAAGACTATTGGAAAACCTACAGGAAGTAATGAACAACTGTTTCGTCTTGGTTTGCGACTCTTCACTGTACTCACCCACCATAGGGGTTCGACCCCACGACCTTCAGGTTACAGGGCGAGCTGGTAGACCATTAAAAACACTGGGACCCGATTCAATGGCCAGTCCATGAATTCCAACTAAAACCCCAGGTAACTAACTATCTGCCTGAATTGTGCCAGTCGCTAGTGAGCATCTCATTGATATTCAAGTATTGGTTCGTAGAGATTTGATTGATTGGTTACAGGATTTCACTATTTTTCTTGCTTATTTTTTTTTTATTTCTCTTCATTCTCTGCCTCGCTGGAGCTGGTAGGCTTTGTGCGTCGGTGGCACAGTGGTTAGGACTCTCGTCGATCATGCACACATGGTCCAGGGCTCGATCCCCTGCCGACGTACACCCGATATCAATTATCGGCCTGCGAAATTCGGGCTACCGATATCACATGCTGAAAATTCCATACATGTACCAAAAATACGGTGTGGAATCAAGCTATAATCAAAAATTAAATAAAATAAAATTATGCAATTAGTCAGGATCAACACGTCACCGGGGGGCGCTGATAATTAACGAAGACAACTGATACAAACAATTAAAGGCTAGAAATAGTTACAACAAATGGATTGCATAATTTTATTTTTAATTTTTTAATTTTTGATTGTAGCTTGATTCCACACCGTATTGTTGGTACAAGTATGGAATTTTCAGCATGTGATATCGGTAGCCCAAATTTAGCAGGCCGACCATTGATATCAGGTGTGCGTCGGCAGGGGATCGAAACCCGGACCATATGTGCATGATCGGCGAGAGTCCTAACCGCTGTGCCACCAACGCACAAAGCCTACCAGCTCCAGCGAGGCAGAGAATGAAGAGAAATAAAACAAAAAATAAGCAAGTGTTCAAGCTGATTGAAAAGTAAATATTTCTTTGCGCTCAATCCTTTTGCCTTCTAAATGTCTAAATGGGGATTTCCCCCCCCCCCCATATTTTTACATTTAATCTATATTTCAGTTATACTGGGGGAAGGCTTTACTTTCACTTTTCATTGACACAGAAAAGATGCAAACGATCTCCCCAAAAAATTAGTTATATTCATAGCTTTTTTTTCTTGTGGAAGATTACACACATGAAATCAAGTCATTCATTATAAAAGTAGAAATGTAGTCAAAATATAGCCAAATGATGTTCGAGTTTATCCCATATAAGCAGTACCCATATCGGAGGATGATATTTTATAACTTCTAATCGGCATTTTACATCCATCAATTACAACGTGAAATTGTTTCCCTGGATGAATTAGAAATGAAATTGTATAAATAGCCATATCGAATTCCGGTGATGAACCGACAAAAACACTTCCAATTGGCTTTTGATATTTATCCCCTTCGATAAATTTTATAGTCAGGAGACGGTCATCGCAATTCTGTTGTGAAAGTTGAAAATAAAAATAGAAAACAAAAAGATTATGTAAAAATAGTGTTAAAAAGTGAAGAATTTTATGTATCTTAAAATGTCATAATTCAGAAGAAACTTACTTACTGTAGCAGATCAGAGAGTAGCTAGTGTAGAATGCTTGTAACCAACCATTCAGATGATCTGGGGTCGATTGCTGGCCGACATACTACTCCTAACCTCGCCTAATTGATTATTTTATTTTTTTTATTTTTGATTACAGCTTGATGCCACACCGTATTTTTCAGTACAAGTATGGCATTTTCAGCATGGATATCGGTAGCCCAAATTAGCAGATATTAAGCATGGAGAAGGGAGAAATGAGACGTGAGGCTAGCAACTCTATTCCGTAAAAAGGAAGGAAAGTACCTTGGCTACACTGAAACTTCACTGGTTGGAGCTTGAAGTCCTAATGTTCTACTCGGAAGTCCTACGGCAGTCTGTTTAAATCTCTGGGCTATCAAAATTCGCATTCATCAAAATGCTTAAACTTTTTTACGTTTCTTATTGTTTTAATCATGCAATTATATCAAATGATCACTACGTTCATTTGCGCGCCTATTGAATTGGCTTCCATCTAGACGACATGCAATTCTTGAAAGAAAAGAAGAAAAAACTTACAGAAGTGATTCTATTCTCATGTATACCAATGCTACTTCATTTGATATACTTCAGATTATTCCTTTGTAAGTAAACCCTGTATTAAGAGGGTAGATTTTAGAACTAAATACGTTAAAAATTTCTGTAATATAATTAGTGGATGATGACTAGCAGTGGAATCCAGGATGCGCATTTCGTCCTATTTGGAACTCGTTAGCTGGATGTCCCTACATTTCCCATTGAGTGATGATGTTTCCACCGAGGCTCGAACCCAGTGCCCATAGTTACAAACGCTAAAGCGTTATCCACTTGGACGACGACAGCCACCTCTTGAGCAACGAGTCATAATGATTATTTAATTCCGTTTTAGATTTTTCCGTCGATTGATTGGATCGAAGTGTTCGGTGTCAGGTTGACATGTCGGCTTCTTGTGCAGATGCTTCAACGATGTCTGGGCATGTAATTCGAATTTAATTAGTGGATGGTGACTAGCTTCCAAAGTTCCAGTAATTTTTGTGTTGGTTTTTACGGAGTGAGGTTGCTAACTTCACTCACAACCTGCCGTTTTTTCGGGCTTAGTACCAACTAGGGGATATTCGAGAGTGTGTTTCAGCTAAGAATTAAAGCTCGACCTCTTGTATCACCATAAGTGAGCATTCACCGCTGAACCACTGATGCACTCTCTTGATGATGTGTTATATTATTATTATTCCCTTGCATTCCGAGTGGAACGTAGGGGCTCAACAACACATCTCCGCTTTCTTCTATTTTCTGCTGCCTTATCCAGCTGGGTTCACGATTCCCTATAATCTCCCATCTTCTCATCGGACGGTCACCTTCATGTCACCCTCGCCCTGACGACCCACTCGTCACTTTTCATTTGAATTCCACTCGTGTCTTGCGTACCTTGCATTCCGATTCTGACTTTGACATCATCATCCATTCTGCCTGTATTTGTAATGATGCATTGGATAATTGTGATCTTCCTTCCTTTTGAGTTGAATTTTGCTGTCATAATCCTACAGGATGAAATTGGTTCTCACTGCATTAGGGCTTTGGCTGCCACTGGTGACATCATTATAGCCAATCACCGCCTCAGTGTGCTCACGGTTTTCGTCTGGGTGACCAGAAAAGAGTAGATTACTGACTCACCCGTTGACAATTTTGATAGTCCACATGCATTCCATCTGCTCTCACAGATACCCAGCACTTCTATGCTACCTAAGCAGCCTTATCAGTCTCGTACATTGTACGGACATTACACGACCCCATTCCTATTCTTCCTTTCATCGGGAGAATACAAATCGGCTGACTGACTGGCTGGCTTCAAGAAAGCTTTCACCAACCAGCCTACTGTGTCATTTCTCCTCTCCGATTCGAGTGAAGAAGAATACGATTGTTGTTATTTGAAGTTTTTTATTTTTAATGTATTTATTCTTCGTGCGTTGAAGTTTCTCTAGCAGTTTGTTAGCTTTTGTGATGTAGGGTCGCTAGCTCCACGTCCAACCCTCATTTTTTACCCAGTCTTGGGACCGGCTAAAAAAATGCTAGCAAGCTAGTTAAAACTATGCGAGGTTTTAATTACTGATATCTAATGATAATTTATTGCATCACTATGTCATCAGGATCTGAAAGTGAGTTTTTCAACCTGAAGGTTTTATTTCAACTACAACAGTCAAGATAGTTATCTTTGATTTGCCTTCAAAACGATGGCAAAGATAGCAACTATTTTCAGTTTCACTTAGTGGGATTATTATTAATATTATTATTATTATTAGGATAGATGAAATAAAGTGAATTACTGACAGAGAACTTTCATTCTCTCTCTCTCTCGTTCTTTCTTAATGATTTATAGACAGAAATTCAGTCCCTTCTCTTTCTTTTCAATCGATAATTCTTTTTATTCTGAGTTTAAATTTTTAAAATAGATTTTTATCACTGACTGTACTTGTAATTGCAGTTGAAATGCAGAGATAGTTTTGATCATTGTTCCTTCCTACTCTATGAAACACTGAACAGTGTTAGGGGAAATAGACTTTCAGGTGTCAGTGAACTCCTGAGAAATTCGACCTTACCCCGCTTCCATACTTGTTGTAGAATTGATTCACAGTCTACTATGTAACTGATGATTTGTTTTTAGATTGTGAAAGGCAAAATGTTTGAAGAGATCAAAAACACGCTCATAGATCAAATTATGCAATCATTTCGTGCAATGATTATATTCTGTGCTAATACCAATCATTTATTCCCAGAGTTAGTTTGTAGGGATTTGATTTGTTTCGAGTTTGATTACGGATTTATATGAGCTGCACGGCTGTTTCGTCCCAGTTTCGGACTCTTCACAGTGCTCACTCGTCTCTAGCTGGAATGCATCGGTCGTCAAACCTGGTGTTCTAGTGGAAAGCCGTGACCATAAGGGTACACCAGGTTGAAGGTGAGGCAGTAACTCATAGAAGAAGACACTGAGAAATGGTCGCGCTATGTCATAAATTGGCAGGAGTTAGAATTCATGGACTGGTCATTGGATCGAGTCTCAGTGGCTTAATGGTCTACAATCTCACCTTGTAACGAGAAGGTCCTGGGTTCGAACCCTGGCGGTGGGTGCATGCTGATGAAGAGTCACAAAATCAGGCGGAGGAAACAGCTTTCCAGTACTCCTAGGTTTTCCAGTGGTTCTGTGACCGATGTCAGCACATGATGAAACCCTCCAACTAATCAAATTTGAAACAAACCAAATTCCTACAAACTAATTCTTAAAAACTGATCTGATGCTCTCTACTGACTGCTTACAGGACGGAGTTGCCTGGAGTTAGTTCTAGTGAGGAGACCTGATCAGTGAGGTCCACCAAGTCAGGCATGAGGGCAAATACTCGACGATGACATTGTCTGGTGGTTAAGCTAAAATAACAAATGGTTAAAAGTTAGAATTGATCGGCTATTCGATTCCGTTTCAGTGGCTCAGTGGTATACGAGGTCGCTTTGCAACCTAAAAGTCCAATGTTCAACCTTCTGAGGAGTCCAAAGGAAAGGGGAATCATCTTTTGAGTAAACTGTGGTTTTCAATGATTCTCTAACTGACATCAATCCTTGATCCAACTTGAAACAAATCACTGCAGAAAACCTGGAGATACCAATTATTAACAATAGTTGTTTCAATAGTCAAGGTGAATGAGACAAAGCCTTCCACCCAATCGATTCACAAACTGTTTTGCAACCGAGATGTCATTTGTGTAGTCAATACACAGTAATGAATCACTGACTTTAACAGAATGTAGCATTCCAATTGTTGTATTTTGATGAAGTATACCCAAAATGATAGAAAACAAATGAGATCAAACTACAATGGAGGGAAATATATTGGGGAAGCAGAATAATTAGACAAATGCTCAATCGTTTTCCGTCTAAACACAGGCTTCATTCTCTTATAAAAAGAAAACTGGACAAGTTTGCAGTATGCAACTTCTTGTTTTTCTATGTTCGTCTTAGTCGTAGGCATACACATTCATGGAATTCACTTAGGTGTTCCTGTGGGAACTGTAATCTTTCACTAACATTCTTCCTCGGTAGATTATAGCTTCGGCGTTCTATTTATGTCCACCGTCGGAATCATATCGGATGATTTTTTCAGACTACTGAGAAACTGTCACCAGTAGAGCTGTAAACATCAGTTGAAAGTATTCAGGCATTTACTGAATTATCGATTATCTTCAGCCTTGTAGTTGACTGCCTTTTTATTCCATTGCTTTGTGGGTGGAGTACAGTGCTTCAAGCTTTGAAATAGCGGTGGTTCTGTTTATACAAGGCAGGGTTACTAACCTCAAACCCAATCTTCTCTGTTTTCCAGGATTACTGCTAACTGATGATTCAGGAGAAATTGAGAAGTCTATCACCGGGAAAAAGGTTCGGACTACATGCTTAGCTGGTGGGCGAAGTTAACCGTCAAGAATCCCGGATTCAACGAATTATCAGGCTATAATTTAAATGAAGTGCTATATATATTTAGCACATTTAATGTGTGATTACTGAAAGTTATGCAGGCGAAAACCAACAGACTGACTGAAAAGGCAGCGAAGAAAGGCCTACAAGTGAACGTAGAGAAGACGGAGGTGATGAAGATAACCAACGAATCGCAAAATCAACAACAACAACCAGCACCAGTCACAATCAGTGGCAGAGATTTGACACAGGTTACTGCCTTTACTTATCTGGCAAGGGAGCATCGTTTCAACCTCAGGCACACCACAGGGATGAAGATGTGAAAACCAGCCAGAATCGGAAAGGCCAGATATGCTCCTTCATCAACCTAAAACCAATTTGGAAATCTTCTGCACTCAGCCAGCATAAACAACAAGATTCGGATTTTCAACACAA